TAATTTCTAAATTTCTCAGATAATTTACATACTTAGTCATATGATGATTAATGAATCATCAAATAAAAAACTGGCATAAACCAATTTCAACTTTCCAATTTTCTTTTGAGAACTGGATATCCACACTGATACACGATAATGTTCGGGTAAACAACTTATGCAAATCTGATTTAGTAGAAATGGTCACCCCTATCTTTTGAAAAAGTAGTGTGGCTGGTATTGTGTTGACTGGTGGCATATTAATAACACGATTACCCGCAATAGTTTCAACTAAGTATTGCATGTTAATGAAATTAGACAAGATATCTCCAACAAAACTATGTAACTAGTTCGTCATAAGACCGAGGCAACAATAGTGTTCTTGCAACTATATGTCTTGTGTGTACATTTTGTTACGAACTGGGTTAGTAGAGCATGGTGAAAAAACCTATTTAATTTGTGCTTTAAGGTTTTACTACCCAACAAATGAAAATAACAACATATCGATACTTAGGTTCTTTCTTTAGGAAACATGTCACAGCTCGGTGGAGCTACATCGAGAGCAGGGTATTGGAAAGTCCTGTTGTAATTAGGTTACACTTATCAGCTTCTGTCTCCTCCTCTAGAAAAGGAAGACACTCTTTTTGGTACAAACTAAATTTAATTCTAATGACAATGAAGGAACTTCCTAATTGTCGGCCGTGAGGGGACAGTACTTCCAGTGTCAATTACATCCTCTTATGGACGTTCCACCAAAGCGAGGCGTACTCGTACTAAGGTGCAGAGGTCTATTGGGATTACTGGTCGGTCATCTGGAATTTATGCATAATTTTCTTGCTCCGTTGAGTGTTAGGACAAGAAAACAACCATTGTCATGTAATAATATAAAGCAGTACTAATAATTATTTTTAAGACACATCACTGACCCAGAAATGACCAGCATTCTTTATGGATATTAAGATCAAGTAATGATATGCATTGATTAGATTAATAAAAAACTTTTAAAATTAAAAAATTCTACAACGTGATGGAACCTGTTTTTCATTAAAAAAATGCGACGTTAAAAATGTATTAAATGAAAATGAACATGTTGCATTCACTGTCCACGTGAATAATGTTTGACATGTTTTTCTCTATAATTTTCTTCTACAACCAAAACGTGTTATATGTGCCTAAACTTTGACCAAATTAATTCTATCGGGTTAAACACACAATGATATGGAGGCAACCTTAAAATTGTGTGGCCGTGTTTCTTTATTAAATGATCTATTACAAATCCCTTTTGATAGATTCTCGTATCTAAAACTTCCAGAAGTTGTTTCCTTTAAGTATTCCTCTTCAAAATATATGTCTCCTTGATATAAAAATGCACTCGGCTATCTCGACTTTGGTAATAGTATGCTGCGTTTTCCATAATTATACTATTGGTGGTAAATATAGAAGTAATTTTTTACTAAACCCATTTTAGAATACTGTCGCCGACATGTTTTTATGGTAATCTACCTTTGCTTGTTTCATATTTTTAGTTGCCAAAAAAAAACCTTTCCTTATGTATCCAACCATTTTCCGAACCAGCATTTGATACAATAATTCGGTGTTGCCTTCCCTGAATTGTTCATCTATCCTTTTTTGAGACATCGTGGGTATCAAACCACGTTTCATCGAAAAAAATACAGAAGTCTTTTCTCAGATCTGTATTTTTCGATGCTGGTTAAACATTCGTAACTCCACTCACGCATTTTCTCAGACTCCTTGATAACATAATTTTTACTAATTGTTTATAATAAAAATCAATTTTCTTAAGGAATATCCTAAGTGTGGTTTTCGAAGAGGATATTTGATTCTGGGTTTTCAGTCTTTTGCGTTGCCCTGAAAAAGTGCCCAAAATCATCCAGCATCCAAACTGGTGTTCCTTGACGTTATTCCTTCTTATATGATGTTCCACACGGTAGAATATGGCATGTTTGTCAGTTCTGCAGTACGGGAAATTAAACCCTGCTGAACAGTTTTCTAATTTTTGAGGGTATTATAATAATTAATAAACATTCAAAATTATGTGTTTGGCATCTCCATCGTTCCTGTTGAACCATTGCTTCATTATTTTCTTCATTGTCACATACCTCCATTGGTTCATCACCAGAACATCTTTTCTGGTGCCAAAACGCCAGATTTGTTTTAAGCAATGAAACAGTCTCGTTTATGTATCAGATCTGCTGTCTTTATTAAAGTCCTCTCAAGTTTTCTATACCGACGATGGCAAGTCGTATGGTAACCCATGAATATATTGATAATGATAATAATCATATAAAAATGTAACGACCTACTTACTGCAAAAGACATTCGTGAACCCAAATGGAAAGTTATTTAAAATCCTTTTCGTGTCATACGTTCGCCCTATGGTCGCATAGACTAGTGTCATTTGGTTTCCTACAGTAATAAGAGACAAACAACTAATTGAAAAAGTACAGAGTCGCTATTCTAAAACCAGACTAAAAAATCATCTTGATATACCCGTAGCGTAATATACACTAACGAGAACAATCTTCTCTTGAAGAACATTGTATTTTGTTTCTTCAGCTGAGCATAATAGGTTTTTACCTCTGCTTCATATTTTGCCACGAAATTCCGGAAGGGACGGACGGTGACGGTCCGGAATCTCGGCGATAACATGTGGAGTGGCTGCGTACTTGGGTGCCAAGCTTTGGGTCGACTAGTATCGCTGATCTCAGAAACACGTCTGGCCGACCACGCTTATGCGGCGACCTTCACGCCGCCGGGGGTGGCGCCTTCGGTCAGGAGCGGCGGTCGCTCGGGCGCCAGCTCCCTCTCCAGGGAAGGGAGCGCCGGGGTGCTCTACAGCCGGAGACACGGAATTCAGGTGGTGAGCCTCCGCGAAAACGCGAGAATAATAAATAAAATAAAACGGCAAGGATATTTTATGACAATAAATAGGGTTTATTCCCTGCCACCAGCTACACCGTCTAAAATAATAAATCTTACAGCTAAGTCTTAATTAAATAATTACAAAGCAAAAGAAAACAAGAAAAATAATAGTACGTCCGGCACAGTCGTTCCTCCTGGGCGACGACTTCCCTCAGGACGGCCTTCTCCTGGCTCTGGGGGCGGCGACCTTGAGACCTGGAGGGGAGCGCGGTGACGGTAACGACGCGTGCACGACGGTTTCGACTTTTGACGGTGACAAAAAAAAACCGGTGACGGCGACACGGTTTCTCGCTCGGGGGCAGCGATTCGAAAACCGGTACAAAACAGGCAGGCGACTCAAAATGTACTTACGGTGATCGGAGAGTCAAACTGCACACTTCTCAAAAAAACTCTTCTTGGAATGGTATTATTATTTGTCTTTTCCAAAGCTGTTGTGCTAATCAAATATGAAGTGTCACATTTTTCTCTGCTCAAAGTTCGAATCAACACATTTGCGACATAACGTCCGCATGAATCGGTTGTTTCATCAACATGAAAATAAATTAGATTATCGCCTATAACTAATTTGACGAATAGTCTGCTTTATTTATTAAAACATTTTGTCCACATAGTTTATTTTTAATATACTCTCATCGGGAACTGACTTCATGGTACGTTTTTCAGGAAATTATCGTAGATTATAGGTTATTTCGTTTTGATAAAGGGATATCGGCACTGAGGAATGAGGAATGCTTCACACAGTTCGAAACAATATTCTTGTTGTTCTGTGTGTTGGTGAGAGATTCCGCGCTCAAACTTTGTGACTTCACATTAGTAGAATTCTTCAACTTATTTTTGTGAAGGCTTGTCCCAATATGCTGAATTATCGAAGACATCTTTTCACAGGCGACCTGAAAACTTAAATTAATTCATATTGTGCATGTTTTACTTCTCGCGTTTAATTGAAACCAATAAGATATCAATAAATTAAAACAATTGTTTGAAATTGGAGCTAATAATAATAAATGTGACAAATTCAAAAATGTAGCAATGATATAAGTTTGGATACCTTAACCACCTTTTCACACTCACACTCTGCAAAAAAAATTGGGAATGTTCATTTAACTTTAATTCGGGATACTTTTTTCAATAGCCGTGGACACTTTCAGAAACTTTTGACATTTTGGACTCGAAGTTCACTTGTCAGTACCAAAATAATGACTGACAAACAGTAAAAATGAAACGGGAGAATCACAAAATGAGTAATTTCTAGAAGCATGCTACCTTAAGAGTTAAATAAGGGAGAATTAAGATAAGTTTAAGCCGGATGCGGCCTATTCAACATACCAATAAACGGAGTGTCTCCAGTTCGGATTAGGATGTCTTAATTACTGGTTCTTTCAGGTAAAAATTCTACCGAAATGTCTTGGTATTTGTTTAAAATATTTACCCACTATTTAAGGGATGCGACTTGGATGATGAGCCTACTGTAATTTACTAACTTTTAGCTCTCTCAAAATTCAGTCCGAAATTCGTTGAACTTACTTATCATCCATATGTAATTTTCGCCCTGTACATAACATAGCGACATTAATAGTTACAAATACATTATAACAGTGCTTGGTTTTACTAGTTCACAAAGTTAGCATTTTAAATATACACATATATAAAACTTGTTATGCCTTAACTACTAGTGGATATGTTACACGCCAGCTAACCGTTCAAACTTTCGCTCTAATTTGATCCAGTGAAATGCACCCCACTTTACATGGGGAATATTGCTTTAATATCATAAATTAGATTTCAAACCCACACGTTAAATAAAAATTAAAGTGCGACTACAACTGTAATGAAACCAATCATAAAAAAATCCTATTACGAAAAACTCTAAACGAAAAATCTAAATAAAAAAATATAATTGCTTTTGGGAATACTTTAAATTATTGTAAATTCGCGTCGAACTTTTTAATTTTTCGTTTCCACGTCCGATGCAATACGAACAACACTAGCAAGATTCAATCAAAAGTCGAATACGAATTTCCGTTCGCGTTCCCCAACTACCAAGAATGCATCATCAAACAAGTTTCCTTCGTTTGCAGTCGATTGCTGCGCTGGTCTGCGCCTCACCAACATGACCGCCCCCGCCTTGCAGGATCCCCGCAAGGACATGAAATTACACTGCCGCTTCGATATGGGCGGAGAGGAGCTTTACGCCGTCAAATGGTACAAGGACGACCACGAGTTCTTCCGTTACACACCTGCTGCCACCGTCACCATCACTCAGTTTCCTGTGATCGGGGTGCACGTCGACAAACACAGCAGCAAATGCATGCCAGATGGGTGCGACCTACTGCTCAAAGAGCTGTCCAGGCCCCAGAGTTCTGGAGCTTATCGATGTGAAGTATCTACCGAAGCACCAGCATTTAGATTAGCTTCGCAAACACACAACGTTACAGTGGCAGGTAAGGGCGACAATGTGTAATAACTGAAAGTGTGGACTGTGTTGGGTCGTTAATCACTATTTACTTTGAGCGGCGCATATAACACATCGTACCGCGTTTTCTGGTAGACGGATTTTATGAGGACATATTACGGTTGAAATTACGAGCTACACCGCTTCAAGAAATTAACACACTATTTAAATTTTTTATTAGTCTGAAATAAAGTTAAAATATTTTTTATAATCCAATTTAGCAGTTGCCGTACTTTCAGGCAGCTATAATCGAAATGTTTCTAATTTATAGTGTAACAAAATAATTCCCCACTTACACTAAAAGAAGTTGACTTGGACCCTTCTCGCCATAAACCATTTTGCCTCTATTACTTGTAGTATAGGACGAAAGAGAAGTTTTAGTATCCGCACATCAATTGTTAACAAAGTATTTGCCAATTCTGTGAGTGCCGCTTTCTTGATCGGACTAGAAAGTAAAACGAGTAAGGAACGCTTAATACTTAAACTTTTTAAACAAAATTGGCTCTTATGCTAAATGAGTATAAAGACTTCCGTTGAGTACAAAATTTTAAATTCAGCTGTCACCTCTTGAAACCTGCAGTTCCCTCAGAATTTTGTCGGATGAAAACGAAAATTGTAATACTAAAGTCTGTGTTTCAAAAATAAATACCTCAGGTGGTTTAATAATAACTTACTGCTGTTTATTAACAGACTTCGCTAATATAAAAAAGCCTAAATGTAAATTTGTTCATAACCCACTTTCATTGTCAGAGTTACTGTAGATTTCGTCGTCGATTTCACCACTATTCATTGTAAATATTAATGGCCCAACTTCGTCGATAACTCCTTCCTCTTCGTATGTCTCCATTATTATCTTATCCGTATGATCTACACTTTGATCCACACATCGTCCGTAGTTCGCCGAAGGGCCTCTTCCCTCATTTTTATTACATCTAAATCTTTTTCAGACTTTTTCCGATACATGTTTTTAGCGAAATATACTTTGGCTATACCCCAAACCATTCCGATTGGATTAATTGCACTGGTAAAGTGTAAGGCTTTAAATTTCGTGGCCATATGTTTATATTAATTCATCCACAATGTATAAAGTAACGGGTGTTCATTTCAAAAATTCATGTCATTGATTTTTCTTTTTTTTTTGAAGTATGTCTGCGTTGAAATTCAAATTTATGATCGATGACAGCTGTCAACGATCGCCTAATCTAACCTCACTTTTTCCAATATTCCAAATGTTGAAAATATTTCCGCTCTACGTCCGTCAATGCATAGTAAAACTCTTCTCAGAATTTGTGAAAACATTTTCTAGCATCATGGGATTGTTATTAATCTGCAGGCATTTCTGTTCAATTCTCCTCCAGATTTGCAACCGAGGTTTGAAAAATTGTGTTTTTAAGATGAGGCCACAAGAAAAAATCACAAGTTCTCAAATCACGGGAACGAGGTGGACAACGAATTTTTGTATTTCGCCTAATTATGCGGTCATCAGAGAAGTTTCTTAATAAATTTAAGTTGTCCATTGTACAATGAAGTGGAGCTCGATCTTGTTGAAAAAATCCGTTCTGCAATTCATCATCGTGTAACTCGTTAACAAGGGGCTCTAAAATTCCATTTCGATATCTAGTAGCATTTAGTGGACCTAATAAAAAGGAGAATTAAAACCTTTGTAGATATTTTTTTTATAGTTTACCTTGAAAAGGATTGGTCCAATGATTCGTCTTTGAGTAACTGCTCCCGGTCCTTCAATAAATTCATATGGGTTTTCATGACTCCAAATTCTCATATTTTGTGAGTTTATGTATTCATTGAGATGAAATCATGCTTCATCACTAAAAATTATTTTGAGCCAATTTTCTGTTCTGTACTCACAAACTAATTGCAAAATTCTAATCTTCGTGGAAAATCCACTGGTAAGAGTTCTTGCATTGCTGTGATACGGTAAAGATAGAATTCCAAATCCTTGCATAAAAGTTTGTGGGTAGTTCAAACATAAAGATTAATTTGTTGATGTAACTGACAAATTGACGTTTTTGGTGTTTCTTCCATTATTTTTGCAGTATGAGCAATAACTTCAGATGTTCGTTTTCGGGCGCCCCAGTCCCCACTTTTCGTAACAGGCTACCAGCTTCTACGAAGAGTTTTATCGTTTGGTTCAAGGTTTTTTAAACTGCACGTAGTCGATATTTGTGCATTCAACTTGAAATTCCTCTATGCAGGCCTGCAACGAATAAGTCCATTCACCATCAACTTTAACCTCATTCTGATAATACTCGTAACTCAGAACTAGAGTTAAGTTACAAATACTTAAATCCTTGACACCGTGTTATTAATTTATCTTATTCCTTGTAATTAGGTGTAAACCTGTGAGGAATAAAGCTTATTATTATTATTATTATTATTATTATTATTATTAATACTGCTATAGCATTTGCGAATATATACAGGGTGTTATTGAAAGGTACTTACAACAAAATTGACAGTTCTTCCCGAAGTCTAAGAAGCCTGAAAAACTTATTTTGTGTTATCAAAATTATAAGGGAAAAATTAACCCCTATCCAACCTTTTTAGACGCTACTGAAGGATAAATAGGTAAAATTAATTTATTTTAGTAAATCCTAGCAACTGTAACAGTACTAAAAAAATAAGAGACCCTTTTGTTTCTATAGAAACGAAAGATGACCTTTTTTTCATAGGCGTACAACGAATTTGGACATAAACTTTAATAATTTTTATCTCTAAAAGGAGAACACTTTTACCTGAACTTTTGTTTAATTTTAGCACCCATACTTCGAGACTAATTGCCGATTTTATTTTGTACGTACCTTTCAATAACACACTGTATACTTGTTACTTTAGGTGGAAAATTGCACATTGTACTTTAATTTTTTTTATACAATATTATTATAACAATTAATTATGATTCTATATGATAAATAAATAAAAAAAAGTGTGGTAGCTCAGCGGTTTATTAATAATAAGAACAATACAAATCAAAAGTAGGGTATAGGTTCTCGAAGTGGTGGCAATTCTCGTCGGGGATGGTGGCGGCTCCTGGGACTCAGAGCGTCGTAGGGGATGACGGCAGCGATGTATGTAGCACAGGGCACCTGGACAGTGCGACCCTGGAGATGACGACGTCGGCGATGCGGTACAGGAAACCTAGAGAATGCGACCCTGGAGACGACGACGTCGGCGATGCGGCACAGGGGACCTGGACAGTGCGACCCTGGAGATGACGACGTCGGCGATACGGCACAGGGGACCTAGAGAGTGCGACCCTGGAGATGACGACGTCGGCGATGCGGCACAGGGGACCTAGAGAGTACGACCCTGGAGATGACGACGTCGGCGATGCGGCACAGGGGACCTAGAGAGTGCGACCCTGGAGATGACGACGTCGGCGATGCGGCACAGGGGACCTGGACAGTGCGACCCTGGAGATGACGACGTCGGTGATACGGCACAGGGGACCTAGAGAGTGCGACCCTGGAGATGACGACGTCGGCGATGCGGCACAGGGGACCTAGACAGTGCGACCCTGGAGATGACGACGTCGGCGATGCGGCACAGGGGACCTAGAGAGTGCGACCCTGGAGATGACGTCGTTGAAGCGGCGCAGGGGACCGTAAAACAGTGCAGCCCTGGTGAAGATCTCGAAGCGGCGCAGGGGACCGTAAAACAGTGCAGCCCTGGTGAAGATCTCGAAGCAGCGCAGGGGACCGTAAAACAGTGCAGCCCTGGTGATAATATCTCGAAGCAGCGCAGGGGACCGTAACACAGTGCAGCCCTGGTGATGATCTCGAAGTAGCGCAGGGGACCGTAACACAGTGCAGCCCTGGAAACGACCAGAAGGGGACCGAGACAGTGCAACCCTTAAGGTGGAGATGGTGGAGTTCCATCTGCCTGGAAAGCGTCCGAGTTGCCCTTTTATAGGCAGGGTTGAGATGCGTGGGAGTACCTGCACAATGAAGTAACTTCAGGTGGGGTGCGTTCCAGTGGGGGTGAGCTTGGTGGGGTTGATATCGGCGCTGCCGAGGACAGCGCCCTCGAAAGGGTACTAGCGGAGCGCTTTGAAAGCTCCGCTACAATCTCCCCCTCAGGACCATTAAGGCGTCCCGACTATGGTCCTGAACTTGCTTTCTGAGGTGGCCTCGTTTTCGTAGCGGGGCCACTGGCGCTGGCGTAGGTGTAGTGCTCCCGTGAAACGGAGTATGGTAGAAACCTAGGGATGCTTGGGGATGCTGTGCGTCGTATACCTTATAACTCGTAGGTCCTTGTGGGCGCCTAATGTAAGGCCTCTCGCGTTTAGGAGCAATTTGGGCGCTGACTCCTTTTCGAGCGTTGATTCGTGGATGGGTTACTACCAGTACTTGATCTCGGGGTTGGTACTCGTGTGCGTGTCTTCGCGACTGGACGGTGTATTTCCTTTCGGCGCTCGTGAACAAGCGGCTACCGTATTTTACAGGGAGTTCGTTGGTGGCCTCCCCCTGGAGTGGAGCTACTCCTCGTACGTAGCTGCTATCTGTCGTTAGCACAAAGGGTTTCCTCATCTTCCTCCGCCCTTTACGCCGGGACATCTTTTCTTTGCGGAAGGTCCGTCCTTTCTCTGCTGGAAGTTGCAAAGAGGAGAACGTGATGCGCGGAATTTCGGGGAATTTCTCATTCCCAATGGCGGAGTGGGCGTCAGCCCCCATGTATTCCATCGCGGAAAAATCTCGGGCTGGTGATGGTGCGGAGAAGGTCCGGATGTCATCGATTTGCATCGGTACGGTGAGTGGCGGTACCTGCGTATCTCGGAGGATTTCTTGTGAGCGATCTATGGTGGGTTGCGCTCTAGAATTTATCCTCGCTGCACAGAGGTTTGTCCGTCGTGTCTCTGAATTGCAGTTTGGACAGTTCCGGCGGAAAACGCCGGGACGTTGGCATCCGTAACATCTAATGATCTCTTGGTCATTGGCCGGTCGTCGCTGATCCTGTGTTTTTCTCCTGCAT